GCGAATTCATCGGTTCTTCGGTGATTGATAATAATAATAATAACTTTGGCATTAACGTATTAATGTATATATTGATATTATTAATAATAACATGCTCATAATAAATATAGATAAGCGATTAACAACACCGCTTGTTAATATAATATTAGTCTATTTACTTTGATCGGCTGAATATTTAAAAGGATCCTCGTAAATTTGCCATATTTATCAATAATCAATTGNAGGGAGGGGGGGGGGGGGGGGAGGAGAAGTCGTGTGCGAGTTTGTCGCGAGCCTATTCGATATCCTTCGCGGATCTACCGAGCTCGTTCGATGTGACAAATCTACATGGATGGAATCTACGAGGGCCACGAAGATAAGGCCAGAGTTTTTATCGTGGCGCAACTGCTACGGTCATTCAATTTCCATGAATCTCGAAAATTTCCAATCTCCAGTTATTCGCCTGTAATATCGAATTTAGCCACGGCCAGATTACGAATTTAGCCACGCCTCCTATCCTTCGTTTTCCTTTTCTGCTCTCCTGCTCGGCTCGGTGCGTTATGGGAGCGTTCATAAAAAAGAAAAAGATCCAGAAGCATCTTCTAACTTTACTCTCGTAACGAGAACGAGAGGATAACTTCACGAACGCGTGTCGCTTGCCGAAACAAGAGCTCGTGCGCGAATGAAGGAGAAAAGGAGAGAGGGAGAGAGAGAGAGAGAGAGAGAGAGAGAGAGAGAGATTTCCCGTTAGAAGCTGAGGTGGTTACTGAAGTAATAAAAGCTGTAAACTCAACGTCTTGAACTTTTTAATCGAACTAGCTTGTCCGAGAACGGCTTCTCTATATCGAATTACGTAAGATCGAGACGTAGACTTGGATTTCTCGATTAATGAGGAAGTGCCGTAATTTCAAATTTCGCCATGCTATTATGCTTTCGTTCAATATCGCCCTTATTTTCTTAAACGCGTCATTTACTTAAACTCGCATTGCGATTGCGCAGGGAGAGAGTTAAAGATTGCAATAAAGATTGCTCTGGTTTAACGAATATTAAAGCGTTTAATTTTTCTACGATTTTAATTTTCCACTTATGCATTGAATTGGCTGACTAAAATTTAGCCTGACCGGCGAAGATAACATTGGAATTTGCCTCGTTCCAACTCAACGTTTTTAGGCAGAGTCTATTATTCGTTTTAACGCATTCTAGCTACATAATGACGTTATTAAATCCTTTACGTAAGAAACGCTCCGAAGCATGTAAAGCGTCAAACAGACCTTATCCTCAATGTTAGGACTACAAAGAAAGATTGATCGTATTAAAAAGTTACGACATCTCGAAGGTTGTTTTTTAATAAATAATAAGAAACATTGAATATTTTCTCTCGCAATTTTAATTTTCAATTTATATATTGAGTCGGGCGGGGCTGAAATTTAAATTGATTGACGACCGACTGACGAAAAATGAAACGTTGGAATTTTTCTTTTTCCCATTTCATTGCCTTTGCATTGGGATTATAAAGCGGGACCATTGCTTGTAATGAAAAAGTTTCCTTTTTTTCAACCATAACGCGTGAGCGAGTTACATAGATTCTACGCGGAACGTAACGCAAATATACAGTCGGTGTATTACGTGCGCTGGAGCGGAAAGGATCGGTGAATATTAATTGAAGATATTAATATCTACACTCGGCGGCGCGCGGGTGCGATTGCGAGAGCGAGCGCAAGCGCGCGTATTTCCAAGCTGTCGGATAACAAGATACGTCGGCGTGCCGCCGTAGTTTAATTGCGCTCGCTTCCCTGCGTAATGAGGGAGACTACTTATTTATACCCGAAATATGCTAATTACTAATTTAAAGTTCAGAAGCTCGAATATCCCCGCGTTTTATTCGTAATTGCATCCGCGGAGTTATTACGAGTGCGGATTTCTCCCGCCTTCGCGCGACAGCTCGGTGAATTATCAACAACAGGATCTGCCCAGCAATAGCGTCTTTCCTTCCCCCTCCATTCGCCCATCCCCTCTCTCCCCTCTCTCTTTTTCTTTCTTTCTGTTTTCCTCGCATCGTCGATAGAAGAGAAAACAGTACAGTTAATATGAAACTATTCGGAAAGGTTCTCGATCGAAGCAATTCCGTTTTTCCTAGTGTAGGGCGCGCATAAAAAACGAGAGGGGAGATATAATTTATCGTAAATATATACGCGTAGATGTAATGAGGAATGAATGCAATTGATAATTTTACGCATTAGGTAGAGGCAAAGCATCAAAATTGACATAAGGTAAGCCAACATACGCATGTTATTCGGCCGTAAAGTACTAAATTCTGTTGGACAGTACATTAACTTCGTTTACTCTATACAGTAGTTGAGGCTTAAATGGCAGTTTCTGTCCGCAAGTGCGTTCACTTGTGTTATTAGCGTCGTTCGATTCTTCGCTGTGCTGAAAACTTTCACAAACTATCTTCTCATAAATTTTTAAGTAACAAATCAGCGGTAAATAATTACGAGATGTAAAAGTATACTTTCACACACTCTCCAAATTTCTTCGAGTGAAATTCCGCCCGAAAAGCAAAGTGACAGCCGTGTCGCTCGAATTCGAATGATTTTTCACTCATACAAAGTGAATTCTCCGCTCCGGATCGTCTAGCGAGGATTTTCAGCCGAAATTGAAGAGTGAATCTGACGCATTCCATTGTCATAGAAACAAATTTGCTCTAATCGATTGAAACGTTCATTCATATAGAATCAGATTCCACTCTAAGCTTGAGTGAAATGTTCTTGCAATTACAAGTGGCGGTATTTCACCGTTGCTTTCGAATTTTTATCCGTTTTCAGTGAAATTTCACTCCGAGAAATTTAGAGAGCACGACAGGAATTTAAAATCGGTAGTCTAGGAGTAGAAATATATTTCTTTATATACAGAGTGTCTCAGATCAACAGGGATAAACTTCGTGAGATTGTAGAACGGATTGAGGTAAACAAAAAAGTCCTGTACTATTTTGCAAACAACACGCAAAATTTCGAGTTATTAATTATTGAAAATGATCATATATAGAGGCTGCTTTAATTAATAAGTAAAACATTTGCTTGCCACTTGCTCGTTATTTTTTGTATAGGATAATTTAATTTACAAGTATATGACAGCTGTTGTACCTACTGACAGGTATCAGTATATTGAACCTTGACCTTCAAACCTTGGATCTGTCGCTCTGTTTTCGTATTATTGTTTAATATTACTGATCTTATTAATCCGTACTTAATCGGTTAAAGTAAAGTGCGCGACTGGCAGTTGACAGCTGACAGGGAACAGCGCATGGAAATGGAAGCCTCCCATCCGGTTCTACACCGCCTACTGAACAATTCACTGTTACAGAGTACATTGTCTTATATCCTACATAATTGTTTGAGATCTGAATTAATAACATATATTGTCACGGTGTCCGACGGTGTTAACCCTTTGACTTATCGATGACGAGAATTTTCATTATTTTGGACTTTACGTTCACTGTCGCGAAAATGCATTTTGTTGTTACGAAGAAGAAAAAAATTTTGTTATATTAGAATTTTTTAATGATTTTTTTCATTGAAGTAAAATGTAAATAAGGGCTTCTGGGTATGTTTTACGCGAGTTCGATTTGCAAAATGTTGCCTCAGCAAAAAAGATATCGCTATTAGAAAAATGAGGATTTTTTAAATTTTCATATATTTTCGTCATGAGATATTTTGTCATGTTGAAATTTTACAATGAAAATATAATATTTACGTAAGTTTTAGAAATTTCTATGTATATTGCAAACTATCATCAAATTTTAATAAAAATTTGCTATACTTATAGCCATTTTGGGTTTATAACGGAAAATTTTTTAAATTTGATTGAAATTCGTCGACGGCATTATTAAAAACCCTCCGATATATAAACTTTCATTAATTTCCCCGAACTTTTTGTATTTGGCGTTTCGGGACCGGTCGAGGAAAATGGTGGTAAAAGAGTTAATATACGGATTATTTTACCTCCGTCCGCGGTAATTTGCAGTTTGGCCGCGATATCGAGCGACTCGCCCGAAATTTCCGACGGCGCGGTTGTCGAGAGCGACGTCCCTCGCGGCTGCGAAAAAATGTGGGCCGCCTCGCGGTAGGTCAGAGTTCAGTCGAGCGGTCGGCACGGCTTCGATTCCCCCGTACCATTCCGTTCCATTTCGATTCGATCTTCCATGACGGAAGATCCCGGCCGGGGGCGATGCGGGCCCGCGCGCATCGCGCGCTCGCCGCGCGAAATAATCGTTTCGCCGTGCGCGCACACGGGAAAGAGACGTTAAATCAACAGTTTAACGGGCCGAAAACGCGGCTTGAAATAATCTTGGATAACGGCCAAGTGGCTCGATGATAACCGTATGCGCGCGCGGTGGTGCATCGTACTCGCGAACGTGCGCGCGCACGAGGGAAGGTCAAAGTTGAATAAACATCGGTGACATGATTTAACTCTGGATGAGTAATATGTTGTAATCATAAGGACGTGCGAGTAACACGGGATATTTGGCAGGCTGGGCGGTATTGCGCTGAAATGCGGCGAATATTTCGATGGCGCGACTTTCTTTCCTCTCAATTATGCATCGGAGAGAATGACAATTTTATTCAATTATATATATTTACTTAACTATAGATATTTTTACTTAATACCAGTTATCAGCTATACTTAACTAATTATATATATTACGGTTTTCACTCGTGAATTTCTAAACGCGAGCATCACCCCCTCCCGCCTCTCATTGTTGTAATTAGAATAAATATAGTGGAAAATATCCCGCCTGAAATTTATCGTAGAGGGCTCGTAATATTATTAGTTTGTCGTCTGTAAATATATCATGTTTCAATCTAACGCTTGGATTTTACCACGGTGATTTAATATTGATCTTAAATATTCGATTGAGATTTAATCGTTTCACTTGAAATTCTGTTAAATCATATTATATTATATTCCGCAACGTGTGTTACGCATATCCAGCAACCGGTTAATTATTGTTCGCGTTTCAGGAGCAAAGTGGCGGCCGCTCTTCTCAACAAGCATCTACAAATCAACGGGATCTCCGCGGGTCTGACCTCTCTGCCGACCGTAGATCAGTCGTCGCCCGATCCGCAACCGGAAGAGCCGCCGATGACCAGCAGTAGCAAGATGAAGAGGGAACGGAAAGCTGCCAGGACACTCGGCATCATCATGTCGGCGTTCCTTGCCTGTTGGCTTCCCTTTTTTCTCTGGTGAGTTCACTCACCTCGAAATGACATGCGCATCATCTGAAATTTCGCTGAAATCATTCATCGATTTATCACCGGAAAGATCGAAACGAGAAACACAAAATGTCAAATAAGATTGATCGCCCGAATATCTCACGTGAAATAAGTTTCAAGTAACGACTATTAACACGAGTCTCAGTTACTGTAACGAAAAGCTGCATTCAGAAAAAAGGCGAGTCGTGATAACTATAAAGATGACAGTTACACGAATTTTGTACGTAGAATTCATATATACGGTATGTTAACTATATAATAAACTATCTTATAATCATTGCACTAAATACGATTAGAGTAGCATAGCATAAACTATAGTTCTCGAACTGGTTATTGCAAGCATTCGGATTTCATTGCTGTAACTATAAAATAATTTATTAAACTATATGCATTGATCCTACATACTAAATTCGCATAGTTGGCATTTATGTTACCATACTTTTCCCGGAGTGTGTGACCGTGTGTCATTGTGTTACGGCTGTAAATTCGCCGATTTGCTGAAATTTCCAGATCATAATAGCAAATCTTTCCACACGAGACACATGTTGGGCGACGCGACTCGGCGTATAACGTTATTTCATCGACGAACGACTACGATTACCGTGTAGGTTACCAGCTCTCTAATCACAGCGTGGAACGTGTAATAAGACGAATGGCTCGTTTGTATTTTCATCGTGCGGGTGAAACGCACAGGTAGGCGGGATTAATCGGCTACATGACGCAGAAAACGCGTTATCGTTATGCCGATCGTTATCATCCCGCGTGTTTCGAGCGTCGCGACGCATGCATCCTCTGGGATGCCTGTCATCCTCTCTCTCTCTCTCTCTCTCTCTCTCTCTCTCTCTTTCCTTCTCTTATTACCTTTTTTAATCGTTTTTTCGTTCGTATGGCAAATTCTTGTGGCGCCACTCGAGTTGCAGCGAATGCACTGTGAGCGAAAAAAAGAGTTGCACACCTCGCAATTGTCTTTTAAGGGCACGACGCATTTTTTCCCCGTCAAGGACGACCCTGGAAATCTCGGTAATTAATTGGCCGGAGCATTTGCGCGCACGTGAAATGTAAATAAAAATCCGTGCGACGGTGCAGCGGCCGGTTTCGTATCTCCATTTCGCTCCATTTTCCCGGCGCGCGCGCGCGCGCGCTTTTCGCCGGGATATCGACGACGAAGACGTGAATGAGAAAGAAACAACTGAAAAAAGAGAAAAAAAGGAGAGAATATATCGCTGCGCTGTAATTGCCGCATATAGAACTCTCATCGATGCAGTTTCCAATTTTTTCCCCGTGTGGTAAAAGCGCTGGATACAAACTTTAACAAAAACAAATAGAGAGGAGGAAAAATGTTAAGTATCGATAAAGTTGACGCGCGATATATTTTCGGCGAATTCATATCATCGGTTTTACAGAGATTTTTGAGTATCGCGATCGGAGATAAATCGGCGCACAACCGCGATATTTCTGATTACTCGAGTGAAAAATTAGAATTCGCGAGAGATCAAAATAGCAATTGTTGTTTATGATTCTGATGTGGAAAAATTACACAATATCACGATGGTAGTTGCCGACGCGTAACAATTTCAGCGTGGTTTTTTCCAATATGTGAGATTTAATCACGAAGAAAAAGATTCGTCGTCACAAATAAAAGCCTCGCCGGTGAATCTGCAAGTTGTACATTGGCAAAATTAAATTAATTAATCCTGGCAAAAATTTTTGGATAAAAAATTAAATTAGCGCTGGTAAAAAATAATTTTTTCGTGAAATTAATGAATTTATTTCGCAAGTTGAAGCTCGAGAAAATTAACTCGAAAAACATAATTTGCCGTTATAATTAAGAAGCATTTATTATATATCTTAAAATCACTATTATTATTAAGATTATTATTACCATTGTTATGTCTACAAGAATAAATTTCTTCCTCGAGCAAATTGACAATCGCTTCTATATATAATTTTCTTGCTGCCTTAGTAAATTTTTTCAATCATAACAATTTCATTCGGCAAGTTATAGATTTATAATTTACCGAATCAGCCGATCCATTTTTTTCCTTGCAATCATTTGAAATAACAAAAGAAGTTATATAAAACGCACGTCCTCCTTTTTTCGTTCTTTACGAAATCTCGCGAAATTTCGACTCGTTCGAGTGGAAAAGGTGGTGGCGCGAGATATTGAAAGCACACAGCCGTCGCAATCGTGGTCCGCTTATTTTTTATCTATCTTCGAGCCTGAGATAGATATATCTATTTCGGGAGTGAACCCCTGCTCACCCGTCCACCCCTTCCTCGGCCCTCGCTCACCCCGCATAATCTCCGAATTATTCGAGACCATTGTAACACGCGTATTCGGCGAATAAAGGTTACCGGGATCTCCCCCGAAGCGGTCTGAAAAAAGCGCTCGACATTAAACGACCATCGAACGATATTCCCTTCCAGAGGAGGGGTTGAAACGGGATATTGCGCGTTCCGTGTCGCTTCGCCAAAATTCCTGAGGGTGCAGTAATGTGGAAAGGAGGTGAGAGGGAGGGAGAGAGAAAGAGAGAGAGAGAGAGAGAGGGAGAGCGATGGAAAGAGGGTGAGAGTCAGTCGGTCGGTCGGTCGGTCGGGAGTTATAGAAGGCCGCGATCGATAGTTTCGGGGTAAAAGTAGCGCGTACATATGTGCATATATACTTGTGCAAAAGTGTGTGCGCGCCGCACGTCGCGATCTCCAGAGATTTGCAGCGCAAAGCTCGAGGGCTGGCGTGCAGCAGCCAGTCAGCCACCTTCAAACGGGGGGTGGAGTAGCGTGCGGGTGTATGTCAAGTGCCTCTTCGCGATATAATGCGCTGGCATCCCGAAGATGTGTCACAATGGGCCGGCGACCACGTGAAAGACCAGGAGTCAGCCATTCTTAAATTTAACCCGCGAGGTGAATAAAACACCGTGAGTGAGAGAAGAAGGCAAAGAAAGAGAGCAAACGTGGCGGGATATTTGAATAACCAGCGGCGATGATGTTTTAATATCATACGATAAGCAACAGGATATATGTGCGCATGTGCGAGACGTCGTTGAATATTTATAAAATAATATACTCGCGCAATTTCATTATATTGTGTACGTATCGTTTGACTAAAAATGTCTACACGCGGTATTTAAGGCGGAAAGCGCTGGAAGCGGCAAGTGTGAATGCATTCTCTTTCCGATTTGTTATCGCTTCCGATTTTCGAAGCTTTTATTACGAGCCTCTGGCGCGCAATAAATATTTATCGTTCCTATTTAATGGATACGGACCGCGGTGCGACGCAGTTTTATGAGGGACACGTTTTAGCGTGGTGTTTCGGGACGATATAAAAGGCAGTTTATCCGTTACCGGATCGTTCTATCGATGTTCGTTATTGGAATATTAAATGGATAATGTTATCCCGACGTATTTCCTAATATGTAAAATTTATTATATTATCCTCCATATATGTATAATTTCTCTGCTTTACGCCAGATGTGCCGCAATCACTGTAAATTATTCCGACGGCGCATTCTGTCAAGATAGTGTGACTTTTAAAATTATTAATATAATATAATACGTTATTATTATTATTATTAAAAATATATTATTATTATTATTATTATTATTAAATTATTAATATAATATAATACGTTAATTAAACAATAATTAAACAATACGCCTAAAATCGAGACCTAAGAAGATATCTTTAAGACGTTGGAACATAAAATATCTTGAAGATATCTTTGAGACATCTTATGTACCGATTTTAGACATTATGTTGTTCGGGATATAAATATATAGGTTATTTGAGATTTTTATTTGTTTGCTGCATTATTTTCGCGCTTGTTCATTAATTAAATTATGTGTAATATATAAAGATTTTCTACTGCAATTAACATTAAAAATACGCTGCTAAAATATATGATAGTGCTTATGCATCGCCTCGCATATATTATTCCCGCACACAAGAGATATTTTATATTCATAAGATCACTATTTGTTTACAACACGTCGGACCGTTTTAGTATTTGCAATAATACATGAAACGTGTGCGCACGCCGAAGTGTTTTCCCGTGTAATCGTGGACGTGAACAACAACGGAACAGCATCGGCTGCTCATTTCGCCGGGGCATCCCCCGTAGGGTCGAAGAAGAAGAAGAAGAAGTTCGATAGCGCGAAAGAAGGGTCGGCGAAGAAATGCGAAAACGCGTCTCGAGATAACCCAAATCGAGGCCGGGATGGAAAACAAGACTATCCCTTGCCCTGCGCGCAAGTCATCCGTAATATACGCGCCGCTTTAATCAACCATTTTAGCGCACTTCGCGTTCGTGAATTTATTAATTTGTTTGCCTACTTATTTATTTCGTATTTCATCACGACGTGATTCCGCCCCCGGGAAACGTATCGCGTTCGCGAGAGGTATACGAGAACGCGGTAATATTTTATGTGGCAGTACAAAATGTCTCGTCAATTATTCTTCTTACGATTTCGCCCTCGATACTTTCATACGCAAGGCGACTGAAGGGTTTGGCTTATGTATTACGGAGGGAGAAAAAGAGAGAGAGAGAGAAAGAAACGTAGAAGCCGGACGTCTTTCTGTTCGAAATCGCTTCTATTTTCGGCACGCGAGCAGCTCACGATTCGACTTTCCTTCTCCCCCTTTTTTCTTATCTCTTCGCGACCGTTGCGTGTCTCTGGATCATTGGATCTCTCTTTCTTATCTTTCTTCTTTTCTTCTTTTCCTTTTTTTTTCCTTTTTTTCTAGATCGCCCTCCTATCTCTGCGCCGCATGAACACGAGAGCGGCCTATCAATTTTTCTATACTCGAGTCGAGATTCCCGCGACCATTATATTCGGTCGAATAATACGCAAACCAATACTACTTCCCGTCTCTGGCCTCATTACGCGCGACCCTTGACTTACTTCTTCCACCGCCGCCGCCGCTTTCCCGCGCCGCTTTTTCGATTCGGTCCCGTCGCCGTCTGACATGTTTC